AGGAATATATTAGTCCTTCAGTAATCCCAGTAAAGTGATAGATTATGTGGTTCTGATGGGTGCTATTACACCTATATGTCGATATTTTCTTACAATCACCCATGGTTACCTGTTTTGTTTCCTTGCTCTTATGTCAGCATTGCAAGTGGTTAGTAGGGATTGTCACTGTTCCAATTCTTTAGGCAGAATTGAAACATATAATTTATTCCAAATACAATACTGTGATAGACTTGTAAAGCTTGTGCCACACTTGAAAATGGAAGTTGATTCTATGTAATAGTTTGGCATGCTATGCCTCTTTCACTTTTTACAATGAGGATGCTGTAAAAGTCAACACAATGAGCATCTCTGGATCTGGCGTCTGGTGGATTTATGATTTTACTCTGACTGTTTGGATCCTACAGTCTGAAGAACTAGATCTTATGCAATGAAAAATGTTGTTCTGACTAATTTTATATCCTCAATTTAAAGTTGTAACCCATGGAGTTGTCCTGCTAATGTAGGATCTAAACACACAGGAGACATTCCGTGATCAAGGGAAATTTAAATAGATTATGCTTAGACTGAGTCTTTATCTATGATACCTACTTTTCAGTCACCTTGGGGGTATTTTCTGTAAAGATATGCGTAAGTTTTTTATGACATTATTTTGATATGACATAGGAAGCAGAAAATTTCAAAGTAAGACACAGTAATAACTATAATTTTACAAATAAAATAAAGTACAATAAACAAGTTATAACGTGCTATATAACATAATGTACTACATAGCAGAATAGCAGTGTAGGAAGGAGAGGCCAAGGGGACCAGGTTTGTTCAGCCTCGAGAAGAGGTTGAGGGAAGATGTAATTCTGCTGTCTAAAGGAGGGTTATAGTGAAGACAAAGCAATATTGTCTTTTTCAGGGGTGCATAGGAAAAGCACAAGAGGCAATGGCTACAGCTTGCAGAAGCAAAAACACTGACTAGACAGATGGAAAATTCTTTGTGCAGGGAGATGGAGTAATCTCCATCCTTGGAGATGTACCAAACTGGGCTGGACATCACCCTGAGCAGCCTGACCTAGCTTTGAAGTTGACCTTACTCTGAAAAGGGGGTTGGACTAGCTGACAGCCAGACATCCTTTCCCATGAAGTTTGTGGAGCTTTTGCGTAAGTTCCCACCTCTTCTGACAGATTTCAGAGTTGGTTTTTTGCCCCAACTAAATTTAGTTTGCATGTCCTAAGTAGGTGAACACAGGTATCTCCCTCCTTCCCATCTCAAGGAGATGCTCTTCTGATAAGTGGATCAGCATGGTGTCAGGTCACCCAAGGGGAGAGGACTGGGGCTGGCACCAGGGCTCATGAGGATCGAGAGAGCCACTGAACCTGTGGTGGCCCTGAGATGTGGATGCCTAAACCACACCATCTCCACCATTATAAAAGGAGAACCTCTTCTGAACCTTCTAACACAGCTGTAAGCAAGTTTTAAAGACCACAGTGACCTTTCCACAGAGAAATCACCCAATTATGTGTATTTTCAGTTGCATTAATGGGAACTCAAATCTTAGCTGCTCAGAAAGGTCACAGTTGTCTCTTGATGAGGTAGATGTGGAAAATTACCCTCATTCACTCACAATCAGTAAAACTAACAAGCAGAGTGATACATTAACACAGACTTATTTCACGCGGACTGCTCATACTGCTGTGCAGTACAATGTATATGCTAATGAATGGTAATTTGCAGCTAATGAAATTAAAGAAACAGGTCATTTTTCTAGTTTATGTATAGATACCATCAGTGGGTCCTGTTATTAATTGCTGGCACAATACACTAAAAATACAAATGCTGGCCATGCCACTTAAGCTGATTTTACCATAATATACACTTAATAAATCGATACACATTTTTCTTAATTCAGAAATAACAATGCCTTTCTCCTAATGAAATCTTGTACCTGTGTGCCTCTAGTGAAATGCAAATGAAAGCATTTTTCTATATGAAGTAGGGTGGTGAAACGATAACAAAGCACGTAATCCCTCATTGCTGAGAGCTGGAGTTGAGGTTTAAGTTGAATTGTAATGGCCAATCTTTCTCCCTCCATGACTTAAATTATAATAATGCTGACAATTTATATGTGCTGAATACCTTTTTCCATGACCTTTGAAGAATTTTAGAAGGACAGATAGGCATAGTTGTCTTTCAGTGGGCAGGAGTCAAAGTTGTCCAACACTGCTGTGAGCTCAGATTTGCTGGCTTAGAGATTACTTCAAGAAAAATACTGAGTAGCCATTATCTGCACAAAATGCCCAAATTGGTGCATTAAAAGAGTTAAGTAATACTGTATAGAAGAGGTGTAAGTACTAATACTTGGGTGAAATATACGTAATATTTTGATAATTCTAGACTCGTGTAGATATGTTAGCATCCTGCCTGCATGGCCCATCTTTAGAAAAAAGCTCTGTGTACCTGTAACTGTAAGCTGTATTTAAAGATCAAAAAGACCTTTTCCATAGGTCCTTTCCAAGTATAGAACTTACGGAAGAACAGAACAGGAAGAAAAAAAGACTAAATCCTGGTGCAATGCACAAACCTGTAGTAGTTTTGATGAAAAAACCTTAATGACTTTCAAGTGCAGGAAATTGTTTCAAAAGGAGTCAAAAAGCACCAGCCTCAGAGAGTAGAAGGTATTACAGAGCTAATGTTTATATGATACCCTCCCATCAGTGAGGGCCCACCTGAACAGTCTGCAAAATGAAACAGCATGGATTTACATTTTAAGCTGTAATTCAGCATGCCAGTATAGATTTACCAGACTATGAGCAGGAAGCTATATGGAGGCATCTGTAGCATTTACTTTTTGGATGCCCAGAATTTTAAAACATTTTGGTTATCCTACTCTTGTGAGATTGCTTTGATATTCTAAAACTTACAAGAAGTGGTCAGTTCTGTCATGTTTTGTTCACTTATTTCCAAGAGCACTGGTGAAAGATGAAAAATTATAACATACCCTGGGTTTCTTCTGCTGGGTTTGATTTAGCTGCCCATACTACACAGATTCACACGTGTTGTTCTAACATGCCCCAAAAAATCAAAATTTTTTTGAAATTAAATGATGTCTGCCAGGTGCACCAAAGTTTTAAATCGCTTGCCATGGAGACAGTGTAGGAGAAGAAGAAGAAAATAAGCTTTGCTATTGCATAATAAGATTTAGTAATCGTAAAGGTTGCCATAAATGTTATTTGTAGGACTGGTGTGAGTCTCAGGTATTCACTCAAAAGGTGGACAATCTCACATGAAAATCTATTTTAAAAATGTATAAATGAGAAATTATTTGTTGGAGAGTGGCTTACACCTGATTAATCTGAAGACAGAAGTAAATATAGAAGTTGCTCCTGGCAACATGAGTAACTTCCGATGACTCATGGGTGGTTTAACATCTGAGATCTCTCTAGCAGAAGTCTTCCAACAAGAACTAAGTTAATAACACATATTGTGAATAGATTACTCTAATTTGAGAGCAAACTGCTTTTAAAGCTATTAACTTACAGTCTTTTATTTTACATTTAAATTTCAAAACATCCCACATTTGTGTTCTGATTGCAAACACATACATGCAAAAATTCTAAGAGAAGCCTAAAAGTCAAAAAGGCATTTCACATTGGGAAGAACAAGGAAGAGCTTAAAAATACCCATATGCGTTGCCAAAAATACTCAAATGGGTTGTCAGCTAGAGTAGGAGGCAACAACATTGAAATGACAGGTTTTCTTTGAAGCTTGGAGATAACAGACCATCATCTATCTTCAAATGGAGTGATTAGAGAAATCTTTCATTCAATGTACCTCATATTTTATGAAACCAAAGGCTTCCAAGATCAGCTGAATGGGGTTTCTGCACACATAAGCAGATTTATGGCATATGAAGAATGTACACCAGCATACCAACATACTTTCACCAGCGTAGGAGCCAACAAATTCATTCAGAGTTTAAGGGATAGAAGTCCATTTTCCTTCCCTCTTATTGACGGGAGCTCTACACAGTAAGCAAAGACTGTAGGGGTCTGCTCTATCCTATTATATTTATTAATGAGAAAACCACAAAGAGGGTTTTTATATTATTGTATAGGTGAACCCCCTCAGACAGCATTACCTGCATGTCACTGCAGAACTAGTTTTGCAGATCTGGGCTTGTCAGAAATGTTAAAGTTGACCCCATCCATGGAAATACGATTCATTGGGCCAGGGAGAGAGCAGGCTTAAGAATTTCTTTCCAAAATTATCTACACAGAATAGGCATAAATATTTTTGGACACATAAAATATATTGGAAATGTTGTTACAGAAAAAAATCATTATACACCACAAAATATAGGTGCAAACTTTTCTAATAAGCAAGCTCCAACTCAAAGAACTTCTGGATACATTTAATGTAATTGTGAAATATATTGATTCATGGTTTCAAAAACAATTAAACAAATTACAGGAACAAAAATCAGCCAAAGACTGTTAAATTCAGAAGGCAATCTGTCTGGCACAGGCAGTCCTCCAGCCGAACTGCTGGTGGAGTTTTACAGGGAATATCGCTAAGCATTTGCCGTGCTCAAAGACTATGCACATAGACACTGTCAGAGATCAGCCACTGGGCTCGATAAACATCTTTCACAAGAGTGGAGCTGAATGAAAGCTTTGAATTCATTTCTGCATTTGTCAATCCTATGTTGGCTTTTCCACACTTATGGAAGTAACGTGCTACTGCCATCAACTGGAGTTAAGAACTGTAAAGAAAAGGGGGTTTTGGGGGTAGAAATGATGTTGTGACACTCTCAGCTTGGGTGGGATCAGCATCTATACCTGGAAATTTAGAGGTCTTCTGGTCCCAAAATGTAAAGACAGGTTGCTTACATGATTTGCACGTATCAGCATGAAAACATCCAAGCTGCTTCCTTTCTGAATTAAATCTGAATCTTTCCTCACGTATTTCTAACCTAGTAGGCAAATCCTTACTTGTTTTTTTAATGTTTTAGGACTATCAGGAAGCTTCTAATTTGGAGCAGTTTGTGACTCGCTTTCTTTTGAAGGAAACACTGAACCAGCTTCAGTCCCTCCAGAGCTCCCTGGAGTGTGCCATGGAAACCACAGAGGAGCAGACTCGGCAGGAGAGGTGAGCAAACCTCCTGCCCAGCTGCAGTGAAGGGTGTGAGCCGTGGGGTCACCATGGACCTCCAACACCATTTTACATTTCCCCCCACAACCTGAAGGACTATAGGAGTAGCAATGGAAAAGCCAGGCAAAGTCAGCACTACAACTACAGCTATTTTGGAGAAAACCAGTTAGTTCCTAGTGCAGAATGCCCCAGTCCTTATGTAAAATCACCTTCAATTATGCTTAACCCGGAGGCAAACTGTCTGAATCAAAATCCCATTAACACATTCCTAAACTAATTTAAGGGTGCTCACAGTCGCAGCAGTCTGTCTGTTCTCCATCCAGTATTAGCTCATTCTCGTCAGTTTTCCTTCCTTATTATCTGATACATGTTACTGTTTATCTTTTCAATCTTTAAGCTGAAGGGGTCAATGTTGAAAGTTCATATCTCACTTTTAGCTGTTCCTGTGACCCCAGTTCCTCTGCAGAGATGTCACGAAACTCATGTGAATGAGGAAACTGTGCGAATGGTTCCTTGGGTCAGGTCAGAACCACATCACAGGCACCAACTTTGAGCTTTCTCTTCCTAAAAGATAGGTTTACACCAGCTTAACCCTCCTTTTTTTACCTTATAAAGTCTCCTGTTTCTGTGCAGACAAAATCCAACAAAACCAGAAGTGCTCTCAATTCAATGGCCAGGAAAGCTCTCATCTCGAAGGCTGCAGAGGAATAACAGCCTGTCACCAAACAGCCCTCGTTTTAGCACAGGTATGTCATTTCACATTTTAAAGATACTTAAAACGTGCATACACACACATACACAGAAAAAATATACTAGACAAGATTTGTGTTTGTCTCAGCACTTGGTCTCCTCACTGCCTGCTACTCACATGCACAGACACTGCAGATGTGTATGTGTGCTCAGTCTCAAGCCAGCATTTCTTTAGCCTTTGTACTTGTTCAGGTAAAGCCACACTCTGCCTCCTCTACATATCACACCCGTGGTACCTCCCAAGTATTAAGATTTCTTTGGTCAAAACATCATCCAAGTGCCACAAGAACTCTCAGCTGGAAAATGAGCAAGTTAATGAATTTGCATATCAAGAGCATGTGTTGAAAAATCTTCAGTTTCTGATAAATAACCTTTCTCTCTCTTTAGAGCAACCACTTACGTACACATTCACACTGTGGGTGATGCCAGCAACTGCTCGCATAATGCACATATGTTTTCTCAACACTTCGGCAAAGCAAAAATTTCCAGACTTTAGAGAGGCTCAGAGATGCTTGTGCCTTTGTAGAACAACATTTTCTAGCTTCACCTTTGCTGTATGATACCAGATCATGATACAGTCATAAATATGACTGCAGTAGAGATGGAGAGTTAGGAAGTCTTCTAAAAGGGGCATGTCCTATCCCTATAAACAGACAAGACACAGTGTCTTCATCAATCACCTAGGTTGGTTTGGAAAGGAAAGGTTGCAAAGGTGAAAAAGGGTCATTAGCTGCAAGGACATCCAGTTGATGTTATTAAATTAGCTAGAGGTCCACCACAAGGTTACATCCATAATTAGTGGATACATGAAAGCCCTAAAGACAGCATATTGCAGATGACTATTACAAAGCTGGAAACCCCTCAGAGTTTAAGTATGAAAACAGCTGTGGCAGCTAAATGAACCTTCTCTGAATGAAGATCCCTTATTCCCAATGCATACAAGACATTCTACAGTTATGTTAGGAGGCTCTTTCAGGAATCTCTCAATGTCAGGGTTCCTCAACATGCCATGCCAGAAACCTAGATCACTTAGCTGCACATGTACACCCAAATAATTATTTTCTGCTGTTCATAAGAACGTTGTGTTTTGGTTTGGTTTGGTTTTTGTGGAAAGAACATTCATACTCTTAACCTTTGAATAATGCTGGAATTCTGCTGAAAGCACTGTATGAGGACCCTAAGAACAGCAACAGAGTGACTATGGCAATGTCCTTGCAGTCAGGTTCCTGCAGCAGGTCTGCTGTCTCTCTGCAGAAGGAAGTAAGATCCTGTCACCGGAGCTGCATTGCCCATGCCAGGATATTTCAGACATTCTTGACTGCCTTTCTTTCACTTTCACCAGTGCTCTCAGGGGAAAGAGGAGCTGCAGACAAGACTCAGCACATGGTCCCTCCATGGGATGTATTTGAAGGAATCCCAAAGACAGGCTTGCTGTGCAGCAGAAGAGCTGATTCTTACAGAAACATTTACATAAAGAAGATGAAGAAATGGCAAACTAAGAAAAATAGTAAGATAGAGAAAACCTTAATACACACACACAAACACACACAGATGATTTTTGCATTTTGAGCAGAAGGTACTCAGGTAATGAGCTGGTTATATCTGCAGAGGAGAGTATTTCTTTCTTGAGGTACCAGCATGATTTCAAAAGCACTTGAATGTATTAATCTAGAATGTAGTCTTCATTCTGTATTGGATATCAATTGTATCTTGAAAAGAAAGAAAATAATTCATATAGTCAAAACCATGCTTTTCTTTAGTAACACCTAAATGAACATGCAACTACTTACAGCACAATCTTCAGGAAGCAAAATAAATTGCCAGCTAAGCCAAACATTTTTATAAAATAAATGAATACATGAATACACTGTGTTCCAGCATTCAGTAATGCTTTGTAAGAGTTCATTATTTATGTTTTCCAAAGGTTGGATGGAGGAAAACAGCCAGTGGATGACCCAGATAAACAGACTCCAAAACCTGATTGACAGGCTGGAAAAAAAGGTGTGTGTTTCTTTTCACCTGTTTGTTCTCTCACTTTCAGTAAAGAAATTCTTAAACCACAACTGCTTTCCATGTCCCAGTCACAGCCTTTCCAATCAATGAGTGAAACATCACCTAAGAGAGCTAACACTCATTAAGTCCCTACATTTTTCCTTCCACCTTTTTTCTTGTTTCATCAGAGCATGACATGTTTTTTGCTGTTTTCCTTTCCCCGTCCCATCGCCACAGATCCAACTTTTCATCAAGAACTGAATAGTCACATTATGACTGGAGGATTCTGTTGTATTTAGTTAGGCTTGCTTTGGGGAACATGGGACAAGCCTCTCTTTTTAGGATTGGGTTTTTTTCCTCATCCTCTCCAAACTTTCCCACTAAAGCTTGACATAAAGTTTTGTTTCCTCCTTCCCCACCAGAGAAAATTGATTTATAAAGATTAAACACTTTTCCTACAGTTCAGCCAAAAGCTGATGCAAATCCCATGATCCTGCCTGGGAGCTCCCTGAGCCCTGAAACTGCCTGCAGTTCCCACGCCAAAGCAGAGCCATCTGGGCATCTGACAAATGATCCATCTGATCCAATGAAACCTTGGATTCCCAACCAAGGATTGTAGAAACCTGAGTAACATCTGTCTGTAGAGAAAATACCTGTTCCTTTTTTCTTCCAGTCAGATTGAATGCTTTTAAAAGTTGGTTTATGACTGTGTGTGAGGACTTTTTTTTTATCATTTTTTTTTTTAGAAGAAATCAGAGGAAAAAGTAAGGTTTTAAATTCCTGTGTTGTTCTCTACATGGAGTGTCCCTATTGAAGGACAGAGAGCTAATGTTGGATAGGTGCCAAGGGAGTGGCTGTATTCAAGGATTTGGGACTCCGGGGATTTCTTCCTCCTGGTCCACTAGGGACGAGGTTTTAGGCTGAATTGCTCTCAGACCCAGGAGCTGCTCCAGTCCCAGTGGGGCTGATGCTGCTCCTCCCTGCAGGTCAGTGCTCACCAGCAGCAAGGTTGTGCACATACTCCAAAGACATGGGTTCACGCACAGCAGCACAGGTGCCTTCACCAGCACCCTCAGACAGGCAGCACTTGCAGAAACATGAATATGCAACAACCTGATCTTCTTCCTTCTTCCCAGCTGAGCAGGAGGGATGTTCCCCTGTGAACATTATCATGGACTATAAGACTGTCTAGTGTTTGTGGCTTGATCCGTGCTCCTTACCCAGGCACTGACGCAGGCCTTGGGTCCTGGCAGACAAGTGTCTCCTCCTCACCTGCTAGTCCAGCTTGAGCTCAGTAGCAAATTATACACACAGGAAAAAATAGTTAAGTGAGGGAATAGACAAGAAGACAGAATAAATGGTGGTGACCCAGCACAGGGCTCAGCAAGACAAGCATACAGACCTTTCTCTGCTGTTGCTCCCTCCCAAGAGAACAAACTGCCCCCAAGTACTTTTCCCCTTTGGTCCCAGTTTGGGACTAAAATTTTTTATTTTGATTATCTCAGCTTGATTACTGATTAGCTGCATTACTGATACAGTCACCCCCAGCACCCCTGGCCATACAAGACTGTTCTCCAAAAGCCCAGTACTCCTCTGGTTATCCCTGAGGTCTGACAGTCTCTCGCATCATTTCTCCTTAACCAGCTGTGAAATTTGGCCATTCCTTGTGGCACTGTCTGTAACTTCTATCAGCCTCTCACTCTGCCTGCTCATTCCAGTAAGCCTCTGGCGAGGGCATACCCATCCACCTGCACACAACAGCTTCCTCCCAGAGGCCGTTTCTGCATGAGAAGAGCAGTTACACAGCAGTTGCCACATTAATGACATTTTAGTAGCAACTTGATTTTTTCTGAATAGATAAAAGTTGGAGTTTGAAATGTCAAAGTCCACCATGAAATGCAACTCTTGCCTTCGGCCCCGCTTTACTCCCAGCTCTGCTTTGGAAACAGCAGCTCCCTGTCTTGCCACAGTTGCCTCCCGACGTGGACTGATGCCAAAAGGAGTTCAAGGAAGCTCGACATTTAAAAGAATGTGACTGAAAAAAGAAACCTGGCATACAGCACCAACGCACTGCAAGCACTACAGAGAGCAGCCAACCGTTTAGTAGTAACTTGACCATGTTTAACAAGGATGTTAGAAAATTATCAAATCGGCTACAGATAAATGAGAGAGAACCTCAGCCTGAAAAGGAGCTCAGTGCCAAAGGGAAACAGTGGTAGGGTGTAGACCTTTTTAACTTCTTAAGGGGGCCAGCAAGTTATCCATCCGTGTTTCCTACTGCAAAACTACCTGGTGAAGGATTTAGTGTTGTCTAATTCTTCTGCTGTCTTCTGTCAAAGGTGAATTTAACCACGAATCAGTCTTGTAAGTTGTCTTTATTTTTTTTTTCCAATTCATATCTTTTTTTCCCCCCTACATTCATATTTCCTGCAAAAAATAGAATACTTATCTTGCTATCTTAATAGAGAGATTCCAGTACAACTGAGTCATTCCTTCCCTCTCTTTTTCCATTTGTTTCCCCTAGAAATAAAAGGCACTGTAAGTATAGAAGAGCCACAGGAATATGCATTTTCCCTCAGGAATTTTACCTGAAGTGCCTGCACTGACAAATGAGCTATTAAAGCTGGGTGTTCTTCTCTTCACACACGCATGTCATGCCCTTCTATGCACATTCTACAGAAGTAAAGCTGCACAGCAGTTACTGTGTGACCGCACCTTCACTCCTGCCTTGCTCTGCTACCTGCTGCTGGTGTGGGTCGCCTGGTCATTTGGATTCTAATTGCACACCTCTTGTTGGCTTTTCCATGAGTACAGTAGTTGTGCTGGAAAAACGCCTGCTCCTTGAGGTTAATCAGTCCTCACCCAGCGGGAAGCAGAAGGAATGTTTTTCTCTTTCTTACACAAGAATTGCGTGCAGTAGGACGTGAAACACCACCAACAAAGAGTGCATCTTGCTCCAGCTGCCTATTGCAAATCAATCTGCTTTTTGTCAGGCATATGGATATATTTCAGAATATCCATATGGCACTGGGCTCGAAGGTACTGCATGTGCCTGGCATGTAAATGCTCATTTTGTGTGCGCTACTAGACGGTGTTTGCATGAATCATCGATTCATGAAGTGCGCATCCAGCCTGCGTGCCAAGCAAGCAGACTGCTGCCTTCAGATGCATCTGTTTGCTGCTGCCCTGCCTGTCCTCAGCAGCAAGAGCAGCAGTTCAGAAACCTGACTTGGACCAGCAAGCACATCTTTTTCAATGCTCAAAAACAGTCCCTTGCAACCATTAACCCCCTTAGGGAAGTTTCTTCTGTTTAAAGTTTTATTCCTGCAGAATAGTAGCTGATAGCTCATTTCAAATGAGGCTGAGGGACCTGGGGTTGTTTAGTCTGGAGAAAAGGAGGCTCAGGGGAGACCCTATCACTCTCTACAACTACCCAAAAGGAAGATGGAGTGAGGTGGGGGTCAGTCTCTTTTCCCAAGTAACGAGTGATAGGACAAGAGTGGTAAGACCTCAGGCTGCACCAGGGGAGGTTTAGACTGGGTATTAGGAAAAATTTCCTCACGGAGAGGGTGCTCAGGCATTGGAACAGCCTTCCCAAGGAAGTGGTGGAATCACCATCCCTGGAAGCATTCAGAAACTGTGCAGATGAGGCCCTTAGTGACATGGTTTAGTGGTGGTCTTGGCAGTCCTTGGCAGGGTAACGGTTGGACTTGATGATCTTAAAGGTCGTTTCCAACCTCGTTGATTTTATAATTCATCTCCATAGTCCACATGACAATTTCAGGAGGTATCTGTCTTACAACATCTGTGAACAAGCGGATTTCTTACAAATGAAATATCACCTGATCAGCATTATAAATAAAACTGTACAGAAGAGCCTGGGTTGGATTTAACCACTGAAGTGTGCAAGATTTTGCAAGCAATGCTTCTGTTTGATTTACAGCTAATAAAGAAGGGATTTAATTATAGCTTCTGGAGATTAAGCAGAATCTAGCTATTGGAATAGTTTGTTTAAAAGGTAAGAGCAGACTACAGATGTAGTATTGCCTCTTATATTTCTATTTTCTTTTCAACTGCTTCAAAGGACCTAAAGCTTGAGCCATTTGAAGAGGAAGTTTTGGAAGAAAATGCAAGATCTGTAAGTGCTTTTCAAGATAATGATTTTGACATTCGATTTTGCATGCCAGGCATTGAGACAACAATTTCACCTGATCTCTTTTGTTGAAAACTAATCTAAGAAATCACCATCCTCATTTTTTCCAGTGATAAGAAACCATTTTAGTTAGCAGTATGCATTGTGCAAGAGGCAACAAAACAAAAGAATATGTGGGCAAAACTTTATATTAATTTTTGCATTGTTTTCAACAGATTCAGTGAGCCAAAACCTCAACTCACATAAGGAGGAATAGGTGCCATTAATAAGATCTACCAAATTTGGCAGCAGTGTTTAAGGGGTGATAGCGTCTCTGCTCCAAACCACCTGATGCTGCATGCATGCTTTAAATCATTGTTGTACAGCCTTCTCCCCTTCCTTCCTCTCTCCCTCCTTTCCAAAACTTCTACAAGAAACCGTATCAGGAAGGATGAGAGAGCATCTAGTGCTGAACAATAATCAGTATTACAACTTACAAAACCAAAATCATGACCAGCAAAAACCTTACTGTTAAGTAAGTTTATGTCCCAAGATCAAGCTCGTATTTTCTGATACACTAGCACTCATAAATTTAGGGCTTTGAACCTAACAAAATGTGAATCAAATACACATGAAAAAATAACAAAAATAGGTGATGCACCAGATTCCTTATTTCATCACAGCAGTTGCATTACGTTTTTTTAAATTATATTATACAATATACAATTATATTTTACAATGTTGCTAGACAGGCTGCTTATGACAGAAGGATAATCCATGAGATAACATATCAGTAATGAAGTCAGAAATGAGCCAAAAACCTGTGTAAGAGATTAAGAAGGACATGGTGTTTCTTTAAATATTGCATTAACGAAGTGGACAAGCTTCAATAGATGAATCAATCAGTCAACTCCCATTAGTTATGCTTATGAAAATAGTTCATTTTTGCAGAAATGTGGCAAAAATACCCCCCATCCCCCCTATTCATCATTTAACATGGGCAACCTTAGGTATCTCATTCAGGTGTGAGTCAGAGCTCTAAAGACTATGAGAGCACCTCAACAAAAGTAACACTGCATCCAGTGCAGACTGAGGGGTACGCTCTTATCTCAAACCTCACACCTGCCTGCATCCAGATTCATCCAAGGAAACATGCTGACTTTATTTCTGAACTTTTCAAAGATCAACATTTGCTTCACATACTTACGAAAAGACTCTCTCATCCAGGGTTTAGACAACTCTTACTTTCCGTAAGGTGGACACTCACTTAGGTGTTTCCATTCCGTCCCTCAGCTTGCCCAGATGTAAAAGCCACACTTGAGCACTTCTACTTCTCCACTCCAGAGCACTAACGCAGGGGCAGCAGACTGTGTTTGTTACTGTTTTATGGTAGACTTTTCTGAGTTTAAAGCACAAGGAACTCAAGAAGATGATATGGCAGTAATAATGTTGTGTTCTTATATCAGCACATAATGATTGTTCAACGTCAAATGTCTGTGATAGAAGAAGAAATTGAGGAATTCCGGCTTGCTCTGAAGCAGTATGTAGAATCTGCTTCTACTCAGGGTGGCTGCTTGCAGTAAGTACAATGTTACTATCCTTGGGCTGAAGGAAGGAAATGCAGTCTAATTTCTTGAATAACTTTTAAGTGGAGCTGGATTATTTATGAAGGGAGAACTTGTAACATCTTCTTTCCTGGCATGTGTGTAAGGCAGAGGTTTTGAAAGACAACTAAAACCACAAAGACATGTCAAAGTCTATGTGCAGCCTAAATAATAATCATAAAATGACAGCACAGACTATCCCAAAGATGCTAACCAGTCTTCTAAGGCTTCTTAGCTCTGCAGGTCATCAATTCATGGCTTCTGGAAGACCCTAGGCTGACACGCTATATTGGAAAACTCATTTGCCATCCTTCATTTGTGCTCACGTGGCAAGTGAGCAACTTAGCACCTTGTTTGCCAGTTCTCTGCTTGGAAGCTTTCAGAATCTTCCCTTGAAGCTGCAATTTTAAAATTTTCATTCATAATAAAGAATGGGAAAAATGAAAAAGCAAATTTTTCAACTAAACAGTATATTTCTGTTTTGCTCCTTTTAGAATTCAATAAAACATTACAACTGTGTTAAGGATAAATTTTAATGATTAATTAGTGTACTGAATTTCTTAATTTAACATGCTGGAGAAAGATGCTACCGTACACACTATAGAACATTATAGAAGAAATACTTTTATAATGTGTGCACAATACAGGATCTTCCTATATCTTCAAAGGCTTCCAAGGCTGACTGTCACATCCTTAATTTGTGAGCCTTGTGGTTATTTGATTGTCACACTTAGGACTGTATGAGAAGTGTTCACCCAGACCAGAAAAAGTAAGTTAAAGTGGAAGAAGAGTGACACTTTTGCAGTGATGAGGCACTGGCACAGGCTACCCAGAGAAGCTGTGGCTGCCCCATCCCTGGCAGTGTTCAAGGCCAGGCTGGATGGGGCTTTGAGCAACCTGCTCTAGTGGAAGGTGTCCCTGCCCATGGCAGGGGGTTGGAACTAGATGACCTTTAAGATCCCTTCCAACCCAAATCGTTCTGATTCTATGAAAATAAAATTCTCTTCTGGACCAAAAGCTGGAAAAAACGAAGAAGAGAAGCTCCCCAGCCTCCTTCCGAAAACAAACATCCAGCAAAACACTGCAGCGACTGCAACCTTGTCAGGGGAGAGAGCTTACATGACTTCAGAACGCAACTTAACAAATGATGGCAAAAAGTGCCAGTCTTCCCAGGTTTACCGGCATTTGGTGAGTCTGTAGTGCCACCTACCGGTTGAGTTTTACTGCAGCTGCTTACGACATTGTGTTTTCTGACAGTTCTTAGTGTTTTTTCTACTTTACACTGTGCTTTCACATACATCAGGAGAAAACCGATAAACAAAACAAATTTTTGCTTATTACAGAATGAAATATAATCTGAGACCAGCTTTCAAGCACATCAGGAGTAAGATCAGCAATCTCACGCTTGGGCATTCTGAGAAATACGTATATATACTTTTTGTGCTATACATCTAAACACTGATTTGAGTGGCATTTTGCCCCCTGGCAGGGGGGTTGGAACTAGATGATCTTAAGATCTTTTCCAACCCAAACCATTCTCTCATTCTCTGATACAATGTATTGGCTGATTTTCCTTGAACCACAGTTTGATTAATTTTCTGTATTACTGATTAGCATTTTTTTCAGCTAAATTACACTATTGAAGGAATGTGAAAAAGGAGTTTCATAAATGGGTCCATCCTAAAATATTAATTAAACATGAAAAGACTACAAGACATTTTTTAGGGGAGGGGGGGAAAGCTCAGATAATTTGCAGTATGTAATCACTTATTTTTTAAATTTAGTATTTGGGTTGGGGTTTTTTTGGGGGGGGGATTGTGGGGGTTTTTTTTCAAATATCACTGCATTTGGTGTTACTCATAAGCAGTTTGGGATAAGATGTGTATGTCAAATAACTTTGCAATGCTTCTTTATATTAGTTCTACTCTACAATTCTTAGTGTTTCCATACAGAAGCTTCCAAGTGATTCCCGCTTCATTGTTTATGAGTTCTGGGAGAACAGCAATGCCTGGAATAGGTAAGCTTTGGGGGTTTGGGTTTGTTTTTTTGTTTGTTATATAATACCATTTTGAAGATTAGAAAGCAATCATGTACAAAGACTGAACAAAAAGTAAATACTGCTAACTGATCTCTTGCTAAATATATCACAATTAATACTTCAGAACAAGATTTCGATTGCTAAAGGCTAAAATATACTAACATATATAAAGAAAAATATCAGAAAGACAAAGGTAATTGGAATGGAAGTCGTAGTGATTAAAAGTCCTACCAGCTGAATTCTAGCCGTTGGCAGGCAGATGACTAAGAATTTGAGACAAAAAGATTTTCCGTAAGTAAATTTACTGTTCAAAAAAACACCCAGACCAACCCTACAATCCTAAACCTGTAGACAGAAACCATTCTGAAGGAAGAAGTCTCGTGAAGCTTACTCGCTTTCCTTTTGAACAAAACCCCAGTTCAACGTTTGTTTTCACTAAGACTCAAGAACACTAGTAACACACGTCCACGCTACACTGAGTCACAACCAAGAGATGAACCACAGCGCGACAGTTAATGTGCACAGAAATTAAGGTGTTTAATACAGCACGCAAGCACTTCACAGCTTACCTGGTCTCCTCTCCCACTGTCATGATTGCCGAAGTTTTGAAGCACAATGTCTCTGTTACAGCATTAATTGCAAAATTTCTAATGCTTATTAAAAAAAATAGCTTATTTAAAAACCTGATACATCCTTTATTTATTATTTAGACACCTTCAAATGAATTACAGCAAGACATTCCAAAGAAGTAACGTGGACTTCTTGGAAACTCCAGAGCTCGTGACAACAATGCTAGTCCCTGGTAAATACAGATTTGTCACATTGTTTGTTTCATGTGAAGAATCCTGCTGTATTAGTGTGTTCTCTATGCACGACTGCTGCATAATATTACCCTTAGTCACATCTTCTTTGGTGAAGTATGAGGAGGGAGGAACTCCAAGTGATTTTATGCATAGAAATGTAAAGTGCATCAGCAAGAATGAGACCCACATGCTTTATATAGTGCAAAGTTATGCTAGCATATACTATTTAAGAAAATACCTAAACAATACTGTTTGTGAATAGTAAAATAGACCCCATTTAAGATTTTCAGGCAAAAAACTACTGATGAGGATTTCAACTTACTTACTTACATTGATTGAAGGGATCCTTAATTACTAATAATTGACATTTACTAACCAATTTAGTGTACATACTTCTTGCTGTGTTTAAAAAAAAATAATTGAAAAAGCAAGGTGCTAAGAGATTATATAAATTATTGTTTCTAATACAAACCAATGAGCATGCAACATCATCTTTCTCAAAAGGGTGCAGGATGAAGCAAAGCAAGCATCAGTTTCATATTTACAGAGGGAGAACAGCAAATTTTTGTTAGGGAACCCAAATCTATTACAATGAAACCCTAATTTCCCTATGTCTGAGCACAGAATAAATTTAAAAATAATAAACCCCCACCTAACAGAAAAAAAATCCCCAAAACAATATTGCACAGTTCTGTACCTGGGGTTTTGCCTTCGAAGAAGCCAGCCAAGACATTCTCAGACCTCATGAGCCTGATCTGGACACACAATTATGTGTCAGGGATTCCCGCAGTCTCAGGAGATTGCACTTAATGAACTGAGAATCTATTAAAATCTTCTATCTTACCGGGAGACTGCTGGATTTAAGACAAACTTGGCTGCAGAAAACAATGCAGTTTTTCCCCCAACTTCTTGGTGTCCAAGAGCTAAAGTGCGTATGACCCAGGAGTGTTCCAGGGGTGGTTCACTCAGAGCTAAAGTACAATTAAAATAAAATGAAATGCAGACATAATTTTTAAATGCCTAAATATAGCAGTACCTGAAATTGGACTCAAAATGCTCATTAAAGCATCAACTCTGCCTGCTAAGAGGATTTCAGTCTGCAGCACAGTTGCCATAGAAACAGCATTTCTCCCTGTGCGCTCCTTGCTGGGGGGACAGTGGGGAGTAAGGCATTCACTGCTATTTCTACAGTTCTATAGATTACCTATAATTAAGAAATCTGCACAGAGATTGGAACTTCTGTTTCATGGAAAGTACTTCCCATGTTTGATCTATAGAAATCATATTTGTATTTGAAAGACAGAAAATGTTCTTGAAGTAAAAAAAGATGGCTGCAATCCTACAAGTATACTTTATGAAAGAATTTCAGACACTGTAAAGTGGTACCACTGTAAAATCAGGGGAAAAAACCTTCTGCCACTAGCACACAGACAGGCTCTATTTTAAAAACAAATTTACTGTAGCTCAGGCACATCCCCACTTTTTTTACACATCTGGGTAACTAAGAACTGAAAAACTTCTAATCTGAATCTGATTCAAAGATTATGACGCAAGAGTCTTTACTCCACCAATTAATTAAAATAAATAAATGTACACTTACGTATGTGTAAGCTGATTCAGGAAGACAAGAGTCTTCAACACTCTTAGATCTAGTATTATCCTAAAGTAAATTCATTTACTATCAATCAGCAGGAACCTCAACCTATTACAATCACAAATGCACCCGCTAACTGACCAAGTTACTTCGGGGCCAATCTACCAGGGTGGCATGAGTCAGTTCATCTTCAGTGACTGCACAGTTTTTCTGTAAGATCTGGACTTGAGGACACTAGAGAACCTTTTGGTGAAGAAAACAAAAGCTAGGGGAAAACTGTTGAACTCTTACCACGTGAAATCCATGAAATAAACTGGCATTTTTTTCCGAAAATTCATTAATCCACTGATGTGTCAGAGACTACTAGGTTTTCATAGCAAAAATTCAGGTAAGATTCTTAAGTATCTTCTCACCATTCTTCTTCAAGAATAACATTTTTCATTAAAATGGCAAAAATTGACAAATTTAGGACATATTCACGAAAACAAGTTGAGTTAATGAATTTAATCCCCAAACTGTGTAGTGCAAAACCTCCTGAGCCTAGTAATACCCTTCCACCAAGGGAACTGGGCATCTCACATAGAGTCACAATTCCTTTCCTCCATTCCCGCCTCTCTTCATAAATCTTGTGGTTCCTCTGCAGAACATTCAATTTCCAAAGGCCAAAGGGTAGGGACTCTGGAGAAGTACAGATGTATTTCACTCCAGTCCTGTCTATAAAGTGGTGATTACAGATATTCTTTTACGGGAATGACATTTTCCAAGTCCATCAATTCTCTTGCTTTTGAGACAAAACACTCTTAAGCCCTAGAGCTGTGTGGAAGGAACACCAGGTTTGAATAATGTCACCAGGAAAGGACATTAAAGACATCACAGCCCACCCAGGGGATGCAGTGCTCAGCTTAAATACTGACACACACAGCAGAACAGGAAGGAAGATTTATGTGGTTTGCTTTCTGGGATCTGGGTGCTTAATTCTATGCAGCCGCACCTATGACATATCAATGCTGCTTTGGATATTATAAAAAGGACATACAAATTCTTGTGCTGAAGCCATCCCCCAGAAATTAAGACTCAGCTCTTCTAGTATTTTAAGTATTCTTCCCCTGCCTGGATAGTATGCAGCTTTCAAATGAAGTAGTATTAGCTGCATATATAAATGAATGTTTCTTTATATATGTTATAGCTATTTTATTTAGGGTATTTACAAGACGTGGAAAAAGAAATACTGTTTATGTTAACAACTGAATAAATAAATTCTCCTCTTTTTCAGCATCATGGTGGGTCCTCAATAACAACTAGAAGCTGTGGTTCCAAGTCATGTTAAAGTTGCATTGTCGTTCATTGCAGTAACATTCATATAGCAGTGTCCAGGTGTGCCTGGTTATGAATTTATGATGTGATATTGTTTGTTATTTTGGATGTGACCTTTTCCACTTTAAAATACGGAAAACTGCATATGTATTACCTTTTCTTCTTGTGACGAGTTCAGTGAAATGATGCATCCTACAGGCTGAAATAAGACAATTATGCTAAGCTGTTTATTGTGTATATTCAGTCAAAACTGTCACAGAAAAGTGCATCTTGGTATGATTAAGTATTTGTGAAAAGTTTTAGTCTTGCATTAATAAACAGTTGTTACTTAATGCTGCTGTTTTCTCCTATTACAGAAGAAACAGGTATGAACATGAATACACATTTTCATACATCTTATGCTTGAGAATTGTTGTTAAGTCATTAATTAGGAGAATAAACATAGGGACAACTTTCTGTGTTAACAGAGAACTTCACACATAGAGGGTATTTTCTGCCTAGGACAAGGCAGTACCATTTTCTCTTCAGCCTCCAGCCCCACCCTTACAAGAGGTGAGGGCTTGCCTGTCTGTCAAGCCACTACAGATCCACAGACTTTACATCTCACAACCAATTTGCTTTGAACGCTATGTCCTGACCACTCAGAAAATAATTTCATTAGATTACTAAATCAAACCCTTTGCCAATGAATTCAGTGGATCCTGCATTCTCTATGCAAATGTGGATGTCAGAAAATGACAGGTGCCTATGTTAAAGACAAATTTCACCTGTAAATCTTCTTACAGGAACTCAGCAAAAGTGAATGCTTTTAATATTGAAGTCCAAAGCTTTCCCAGATTGACATGATCCAACTGCAGATCTGTTAATTTTCAAAAAGGCACCCAAATAGCCATATTACACTCACAAAATTACATACCAGTGGAAGTTTAAAGGTTTCTTGTCTTTAGCAAAGTAAAACTACCCATACTCCTCAAGATCTGGCTGGCTTTTTTCCTATGCCAAGATGCCACTCTACTGTATGGCATGTTTTCTTTTGTCACTACTGATCTACAGACAAAGGAAATACAGTGATATGTGACTGCTGCAGGGTAAATCTGTAAGTGAAAACAGACACACTACACTGAGTACACTGAGGTTTATAGCATTTTTCCTTTTCACTGGAAAAACTGTATTAAAATTAAATAACCTGCTTTAGAATTCCGTATCAATTAGGTGTTGCAGGGGGGAAGGAAAATCCTAGTAGGTCATATGTCCTTCTAACAGTTACTCTGCTTTGTATATTTACTAGTAAATATCCTGGTTTCAGCTGGGATAGAGTTATTTCTCTGTGCTGGGCATCAATCAGTGGTGGTGAGCAATTTATTGTGGTTTTTGAATTTTCACTGCTTTTTTTGTTGTTCCCTAAATTTATTGTTATTGTTGTTATTATTGCTATTATCACTATATTTTACTTTAGTTATTAAACTGTTCTTATCTCAACCTGCAGGTTTTACATTCTTCTAATTCTTCTCCCCATCCTGCCTGGGGAGAGGGAAATGGGGAGTGAGCAAGTGGCTGAGTGGCACTTAGTTGCTGGTTGGGCTTAAATCATGACAGTAACCAAACACTTTGATGAACCATACACAGGAATAACTTTGAGACATTTCACTTAAGAGTTTTAACAGCTACACAAAGATATTGCCTTCAACACATACTGCAGAAAAAGATCCACAGGATTCATAAGACTCCCAGTGATTAAAAACCAACCAGTCAGCCAACCAGCGATTTCAGTTCTCTGTAACATCACCCGTAAACAACATACAAATCATAGAATATACTTGCAACTTTATTTTAATTGACTATCTGTTACTAAACATAAAAAAAACCCCTGAATTAAACCAACTTTATTTGAGTAGTTCAGGGCAAGAGATCTAGTGTCTATCAAATGCATCTTGAAAGTTTTCTGCACTTTTAGGATTACCATTCAATACATTCTCATTTAGCTTCCATTATCATTTGTGACAGATGTTTGAAAATTGCCTTCAGTGCCCAGATGATGTTGTTGTGGGTCTGAGTAAAGGTTCTGAGGCTACATGTATTCATACAAATACCTATTATTGACACTTGTCATCCAAAGGATGGTTTCAGGAAATAAACTGCTGCTTTCCATTTCACTATGAAATACTCTACTGTTTTAAGGAAAAAAAGTTACAGAATAAACTATGCTTTGGTATACCCATTTACCCATCTAAGACATGATTAAAATGTCTTGTTCCTCAGTTTTGCCCATTACATCCACTTTTCAAAGTCAAAACCACAGGTCAATTATTTTCAAAGAACTTCAAGGAATGCAAGGCATAGGCAGTTCTCTTGTTCTGATCCATGATGAGATAAGATTTCACGTTTTAGTGAAACTTAGTAGCAAGAGACTTTGTAATTTGAAAGAAGGTATGTATCCACAATATACTAAGAGTGTACTAACTTGTGTCAAGTTGGATATTTCAAATTAAGAAAGCAAGCAAGTGAAGTTTCAGGGGAGAAAAATAAGCTAGAGGGGTACAGACGCTAAAACAGCTGAGATTTGACACAGGCAGTATGTGTTGTTGCATTATTAGTGCTAAGGAAGAGTGGTGGGAGCACGCAAAAAGCCACAGTCAAGTACTGGTTTAGAATTTATGGTCAGATACACAACATGGCTATGTAACACAGACAATTCAAGGAAAAAGTCCTGCCACAGCAAAATGTAGAATCTTTTATTTTCACTGTAATTGTTATTACCATCTCAGGCATTACAAATTAAAGGTTTGGCTTTTAACGCAGTCAGGCAATTACAGGAAGAAACAGCCTTTTTCGTAAATTTCATTGGGTTCTACTTTCACCTGTAGGCACCCAAGTACCTTCAAAAATCTTAAAAGACCTACATCACATGTAGCTCCTTCAACTTGTCACTTCTTGCACATGTCAATAAAAGGCTTGCTCTTTTCCTGTAAGAAAAATAAACCCTCAAATTACTTCCATTCTAAGAGGTCATTTATATGAAGTTTTCCTAGGTCCGCTTATAACCCTTTTCTACTCCACATACATTTAACAATTTGGTTAGTTTGGTTTCATTTTTGTTATGTTTGGGTTCTTTGACTGATGCAGACAGCTCTACTTTCATTAATCTTCCTGGAAGACTTTGTCAACACACAGACTTCAGTTCAAATGCTGGGCTATGTATAGGTAGACCTAATCCCCACGTCTCAAAAAACCCCAGTGTCCTTCAGGACAAATGCAACCCATAGCCTCCTAACAGCAACAGCATCTGCCTTGTACAAGCCCCTCCAGGAAGCTTTTTCCATCTGAAAAGATGGCTTTCACTCAACGATGGGTGTGTACTTCAGCAGCGACTTCAAAAATTCAGAACTAGGGAGAAGTCCTAAGATGGGCAAGAACTGCCCGAATACTCAATTCAGTGGCAAACTGTGGACAACCACCTGCTTCTCAATACCAGCTCACTGACACTGGGATTTCTAGCAAGGTTCATATACTTTAACTGAGATCTTACAACTGTCTTGGAAACAATGGTAATTTTTTCCTCTTCCTTGCCAATAAGGAAACTTCTTAGTGAAAAGCAAGCAGGTACATCCATGCAGGCATATAAAATGTATCTTAAGACAGTTCACATCCAAATACCTTAAATGTTTAATTCATACTAAAACGCTGCCAACCTCCCAAATTACTAAAAATTCAATGTCTGCACAAAATTCAACACTGGAATACAACAGTGGCTGATTTACCCTATATTAACAACAAAATGTTTATTCTAGTCAATTCAGAAATGAGATACAGACTATCACTGACCAAGTTTCTTCTGAAGTATGACTGGCAAGCTGGTAATGCTACCCTTATATACTAACAAGATCCATATACTTGCAATATCTTTTTCAACACTCTCCCAAGATCACAGAGCAAATTTCCAGCTTTTGCTCTCTTTTAATAACAGGATTTTTTTCCTTTACCTTCCTACTTAGCCATCCATACTTTGTGCTTAAGACACCAATAATGACAGATAAGTGATACACTTTTGTGGGAGATACGGACAACACGACAACCAGTATGATTAAATGCTGACACTTTATTGAGCCCGAATAGCTGTTTATATAACCTTTCTAACTGTCCACGCGAACTCTATACAGTCCCGATTGTCTAAGTCCACTAATGCACGCACATAAATACAGCTCATGATAGGCTTAAGCTTTCAGTACATGCGAAGGCTTTATCAGTCCTAAAGTATGCAGAGTTTCTTGTTACCTAACCGGGAGTTGTCTTTCTCAAGCTAACTCCCTCATTCCACAGCTGCAAATATTCTTTAAATAACCTTATCACTAGGCCTTGGTGCCTAACTCAGACTCTTCCTATTGACATGAGTCCTGGATCGCTCATGTGCTCATTTTGTTCCAAATAGTCCTCCACACACTTTATGTTACTCTAATTCAACATTCTGACTAATAGGCATTTCTAATTTACCCATCCCCTTTTGCACCTGGATAGAACCAGAACGCTCACTGGTTTTTTAACTGCATGATAAATGAGCATATGCAGAGGAAAGACTGAAAGGGCAAGCCTCACAGTCAGTTACTCTTTATTTCTAAAAATGCAACTATATATAACTGGATCCTACAGACATAAATCATAGAATCATAGAATTGTTTGGGTTGGAAAGGACCTTAAGATCATCTAGTTCCAACCCCCCTGCCAGGACCAGGGACACCTAGCACGAAACCATGTCACCCAAGGCTCTGTCCAACCTGGCCTTGAACACTGCCAGGGATGGAGCATTCACAACTTCCTTGGGCAACTCATTCCAGTGCCTCACCACCCTCACTGTAAAGAACTTCTTCCTTATATCTAACCTAAACTTCCCCTGTTTAAGTTTGAAGCCATTACCCCTTGTCCTACCACTACAGTCCCTAATGAAGAGTCCCTCCCCAGAGCATCCTTATAGCCCTCCTTCAGATACTGGAAGGCTGCTATGAGGTCTCTACGTAGCCTTCTCTTCTCCAGGTTGAACAGCCCCAACTTCCTCAGCCTGTCTTCATACGGGACAATCTCTTAAAACACATGCAATCCCATTTTGGCTTGCACCAGTTTTTACTATCCTTCTTTCCCTCTATCCAAATTATTTGCAATTTAGCCATGTGATGAGCAATCTTAGAGATCATTCATCCACTGATTTCGTTTCTGCAGGGGTTCTCCTTTACCCTGAACATAACCATGAGGAAATACATATATTATAAAAATTTGCCCCCACTGGAAACTGAAGTGACAGGAAGAAGGGAAAAGAAATAAGGAAATTCAAGAGTTGTAACTTTGCTATCTGCAGGCAAGCTTTCAAACAAGTAAAGCTTTCATCTTGAGGACATGTAAACAGTAAGAACGGGGAAGGCCAATTTCTTTATTAGTTTAACATTTTTGGTTTTGTTTTGGGGGTTTTTTGCAAGGAACAGAAATTTTAAAAGTTTAAAACTGTCTCAAACTGTGGCCATCTCAGTAGACATGCGGACATACTTCTCCAGGACAGGAATCCTACTTCTAGAAGAACTACACCCTGATAGCCTCAAGGGCAGCCTAGTATGTAGCCTGATTTGATATTATAATGTTTATACCCAAGAATGTTTTCCCACACCTGATGTGTGGAATGCAAGGCATTACATTTTTTTCTCTTAGCATACAAATTCTTTGAGGATCACTTCATCTCAAAGGTTAAGGTGGCACTCCTGGATATCCTTCACATTCATCATTCATTTCTACTCATTTCTCCCCAACAACAGAGACTAGGAATGACAACACAAACTGCATGAAGCTCATCAGTGGACACTGATGCATGGACAACTTAAACACTGGAACCAGACTTTCACAAAGCCAGAAATCTCTCAAGATGGCTCTCTTTTGAGAAGCCAGATTATGGAATTCACACAGAATACTAAAACTATGTACTGTGATTTCACAGTAGAAAACTTTCACATGATTCCATACTGACTCTAAAATTGGCATTTCCAGAAAACAAAGTAAAAAAACCTTTTCCTTTGTATGGCACTCGCCATGGTAAGATGCCAAATACTGACTGGGGAAATCATGTACAAAAGTAACAGAGACAAACTGCACAATCTGTCTTTTGACAGTTTTACCAATTTGGCAGGCGAGTCTGAAGAAAAATGTTTCCTATCAAATGGGTTGTCAAAACCTCCATGACTGTTTTTTAACTTCAGTTAATACAAAAAATGCACTTACTGGCTTTTCAAGTACAATTGGATGATCAGGAAGAAACTCTGGCTTCTTCTGAGAAAGAGAAACATTTGAAAGTTTCAGAAGGAAATCCCTGCTGTATTTGATCCTTCCTGTGAATACACAAAATTACAATGTTCAACATTGTTGTTTAAGGCACTAAGGTTGGGAATTAAGAAAAGTGATTTGTTTCTTCTACAAAGGTGGAAATGCTGCATGTGGAATATAAAAATCAGTAGTAAAACCAACAATAATTTGTCTGACCTTGTCTTAAGATAATTTGTAGGAAATTACAAAGAATTTCACTTTAACTCTATAAAATTGACTTATTTGAAAACTTGAGGGCTTTCTTTTGTTTTTCCCTTGTTTAAAAACATATGATGATGATTTCTATAAGGCCTTCAGTTCAGTCCCCCACAACACCCTTCTCTCTAAACTGAGAAATACTGGTTTGATGGATTTTTTGGTGGATGAGGAATTGGTTAGATGGTCCCATCCAGAGGGTAGCAGTCAATGGCTCAATGTCCAGATGTAGATCAGTGATGAGTGGTATCCTTCAGGGGCCTGTACTGGGACCAGTACTGTTTAATATCTTCATCAATGACACAGACAGTAGGATAGAGTGCATCCTTGGCAGGTTTGCAGAGAACAAGCAGCTCAAGTGGAGCAGCTGACATGCCTGAGGGATGAGATGCCATCCAGAGAGACCTGGACAAGCTTGAGAATTAGGCCCATAAGAACATGGCCAAGTGCAAGGTAGTGCACATGGTTTGGGGTAGCCCCTGGTATCAATACAGGCTGGGGGAAGAAGGGATTGAGAACAATCCTGCCAAGGGCTTGGGGTTATTGGTGCATGAAAAACTGGACATAAGACAGCAATGTGCACAGCCCAGAAAGCTAAATATACTCTGGGCTGCATAAAAAAAAAAAAAAAAAAAAAAAAAAAAAAAAAAAAAAAAAAAAAAAACA